TTATATACATGTATGTCTGTATACATCTATGTAAATTTAAAAAACGCTACTGTGATCAATGAGCCGTTGAAAACGTAGCAGTGAATCCTAGTGTGTCCAGATGGGATAGAACTAAACCGTTTTAGTCTAACTTTGGACCATACCCATATAATAAAAACTTAATAAATATTCTCTCATAGAGTTTCCTAATGTGCAGCAATAGAAAATGCCTAATCGGATTAGCTTTTGCTTTACTTTGTCTCCGGTGAATCTGTTCTTCTGCACATATCCTATAATTTTAGTAGTTATCTTTGTCCGCGAAAAAAACGTTCGATACTCCTCTCGAACAATTTTTACTAGAACGTGATTACTTTTTTCTCTTTCAAAGAAATGTCTCTTTATCTTTGTACTATTTATTTACTATTTACAAGTACATTGCTTTAAGTACATAACATACTGTGGAGAGTTGGTCATAATTTTACTATTTAAAACATTTCTTTATTCTCTTGGATATTCTTAGTTCTGAAATCATAAATAGTCATTGAAGTTTATCCAGACAAAATTTTTTGTTTAAGGCTCTCTTTAGTCAATAGTAATAGATCTATGCTTCTTTAGTGGCATGATCATTTGATACAGTTATACGTTGATCTATGTATGATAAATATTTTACTATTGCTAATGTTTTTCGTATCCGAAAGTGAGTTGCTATGTTTTAACTTCCTAAGAAAGTTATGGCAACTAGTTAAAGCCCTAACTAAATATAGACTAATCCCTTTTTAAACATATCCCAATATCTTTCTTAGCAGATGTATTCAGTTAAAACATGCATATGTTATTATATATAAATTTAAAATAAATACACACTCATATACACAGACATACAAACGTTGATTACTGATTAAATCGCCGCACGCTATGGCGTTTTGTAGACCCGGTGGCTCTGTCTCAGAATTTCTTCGACTTCAGCTCACGATCTTGCGCCGGTAATACATAGTTATGTTCATATGATATATTATACAAGTATATATATACTTGTATATAAATGTCTAAGTGCCATTTATGTATGTCTGTGCATTGTCCGTACTCGCTACTTTGTAATGGAAGTGTTGGTAATTACTGATTTCGTCGCAGTGGCAATTGTTGTTTAATAGTCTGTCAATTATTTATTGGAGCTATCGATCAGGTGATTGATAAATTGAAAATTTACTAAGCTAGTGTATTAATATACATTTTATGTACATACAAGCACTTAGTGTATTGACAGATAAATGTGGAAAGCTTTGAGAGTGTCAATATGTAATTGAATACGTAATCAAATTATGTGTTCATATGCACACTTTCAAATTTCATAATTACTTTCTTAAACCTATTTAGTTTAATATCCGTCTAGTAGTAGGTTCAATAGATGGCGGAAAAAGTTTTTACTCTCAGTTTTTTTTTGTTTTGTTAACATATTGGCAAGCCTTCTCAAAGGTAATTTCATCTAGAAGCTTCAGTAAGGGGAAACCCATGTATTCACGGCTTCAAAAACAAAAAAGAAATTTTATTGTTTGTGTTAATTCACAAGTTGATCCCAGTTATAGTTTTGGAGTTACAGCTTTGAAAAGCTGCGCGCTCGAGGTCAGCCATATAGTCACTAAAAACTTTAAACGCGTTTTCCTCGAAACTATATATTCAAAGTAGGTTCTCATGACTACTCGAGAACTACACAACTGATCTTAATGAAATTAGACACAGGTCTTCAAGATATCCTTTACAAGGTCTTGAATTCAATTACAATTAACTTCTTTCAATTACACTTATTTAAAACAAAAAAACCTCGAGAAATTTTCACCAAAATTTGCGTTTTTTTTTAAACGTTTACCAATAATACAGTTTTCACTTTGTTTGTTTTATCTCCGTCCAATACCTAGTTAGTGGTCTTAGTTCAAACACCTATTTTATTCTTTTTACTTTTGATGATCCCGTCAAAAGTTCTGCTGTCAAAGCGGAAGCACCTTTTTTCCGAGGGACTGCCGGAAATGACTTCGTAATGACCGAGTTTTCCATATTTTTCTTTGACAATTTTACAAAGTCTTTATCAAATATGTACCTTTGGTAAAAAGTTCGAATAAAATATTTAATTTTTTATATGAAAAAAAAAATTATTGAATAAAAGGGTTTTTGCTCAACGAAACCCATGTAACCCTTTAGGCATCATTTACATCAACCTTACGAAATATATACACAAATATTGGTCGAGCTTGATATATTTTTCATTATTCTTGCTTGTTATTTTCATTTCATGATTTATGTTTCTTGCAAACGTTTTAATTAGCCTGCATCATTCTATCACTTTCGCTCATCGCTGTTATTCATAAATGTCGTGTTTTGCAATGCATCATTGCATTGACTGGTCGCTAAACACTTGAAGACTGCAATTGTGAATACATACATATATTATATTATATATTCTCATGTCAAACCCACATTCGTGATTTTCAACCCACACTAATAGTATTTAAAGCAATTTAATGTAGTTGACTTGCAATTTCACGTTTGCCAATAATAATATGTGTGTATGTGTATAATAATTAATTATCAGGAAATTTATGAAACATGACAAATTAATTGATTTTTCACTGTATACAAGCTTCTTTCATTAAACAGGACTGTAGAGAATGTGACAGGGAAGTACTTACATATAGGTACATACAAATATAATATAAAAATATATCTAATTGAGTTGCGATTTCATATAATATAATATACAAGTATGTACCTCGAGTCGAGTCGATTTCATATATCTCTGAAAACTCATATAATTGAAATTTTACATTCCTACTAAAGTAGCGCGCATAGCTCCCTAAAAGCTGAAGAGCATGAAGTGATTAATCATATGATCATCAGTGTTGATCGAAGGCACACACAGTGATTATTGACATATTATATAATATAATAGTTGCGTTTGATGTTTTAACTACTTCAAGACGACAAGGACGAAATAATTTAAAATATTAAATATATAAAATTTAAATTCTAATAAAAAGTTTTCAAAGTGTTTTTGTATTTTCCATTTTACTCTCTCTTAGAGACAGTTAAATAAAATTTTTCTCGTTTTTTGTTAAACGAACGATAGCCAACGGAGGTGGTATAACTTGAGGATTAGTGAACGTTAACACGTTAAGCACTATATTTAAATTTCAGTTCAATATGGTGGCATATGTTCCACAAAATCAGTCTGGAAGATGATAAATGAGGTCCACGCTTAAAGTTGTTAAAGCAAGCGCATGCAAGTTGCTTTTTATAAATAAGCAGTCCTTGTTCTTTTTTGTGTTTTCGTAGGAATTTGGTTTTTTGAAAAAAAAAAAAACATTTATTGTGTTTACTTTTACTTCAGTGACTAAGTACACTTGATAACTTCTGCTGCTTTTGTGATCGCACACATACCATATATTGATACAATAATATTCTTACATGAGTATCAAGGGCTACGTCAAATGAATGGATCTCTCTACTTATACATATATGGACATACATACGTATTTAGCACATGCAAAAAAAAATTTCTTAAAAGATAAATATGGCACATATATATACGAGTATATGTACATATGTACATGCTCATGTGAATACCACAAACCATATGCCTTTTGAACTACTCTCAAGAGCTTTGAAGGCCAATTGCTACAAACAACACAACAGTACATTGAGTCCACATTGCTTTTACCGTCTGGCATTTCGATGATGTCAGTTCGACGCACTGCAATGCTACATGTAAATACTTATTTGCGGTCAGACGGCCTAGTGTATTTGTAAATAAAGATTGCTGCAGAAGAAGAAGAATAAAGAAAATAATAATAAAAGTACCTCTTGTGTGTTATTAACGCATTTTTGTTTGATGTGAAAGTAAAATATTAATTTTAAACGTATGCTTATGTTTGTGTGGCTGCAAGTTGATTGAAGATTGTATATAATGCGTCAGCAATTTTCGTAAGCCTCCCAAGTAGAGCTTAGTGGACGCATATTATTCGAAAATGTGTGCTGTGTGGTGATGATGTTTGAGTTCATTAATATTCTACTTTTTTTCTGATGTTAATTTAATTGATTGAGCGCGCTAGGCTGACACAAATAAAAAATTATAATATTCGAAAAATAATGTTTGAGCTCAAAAAATGCTTCATCAACACTTAGTATTAGCCGCTGGTGTTTAGTATCTGATTAAGAAGTTTTTGTTTAGAATTATAGAAAACATAAATTGCAATACAATAACCCTACTTTACAAGAAAAGTGACATAACTCAAAATAGTTAAAAATTTAGTCAAGTTTATTAAAATGACCCTAACCCAAAATTTAATAGTCGTATATTTCACACTATCGTTGCAGGATCGGTTTATTTAATTTTTATTTTTAAAAAAATTGTACATACAAGTATATATGTCAGTAAGGGGTAGGTTACCGCTCGTTTAGTCTATTAATTAGACTTTAGATTAGCGCGGCCTAAACGCCATTTTAATATCTGTTAGAGTAATCATGTATTTTTTAAATTATTCAATTTCCATTTTAACGATAAAAAGTAAAAATCAATATCTCGTTCAATATTTTTTATTTAAAATATAGTTTAACTATAATTCGATATTGGCTATTTCTGTTCTCACTGTCAGTTTCAGAATATTGATTTTGTATTAAATGCTATTATCGATTATCGTAATATTTAGTTTATCGAAACATTGTATCGTTGCCTCAGACAACAATAGTAGTCCGATTTAAAATATTTCTTTGGATATTGTACTGTACCATATGTATATATTTTAAAGGCTGCTCGACGTTTCCTTCTGGGAAACATAATATACCATGTTCAGGGTATAAAAATATATCGGGTGAAAATGCAAGATCAAGATTTGTGAAAAATGGGGACCTAGAGGGTAGCAACAATTATGTAGGTGTCACATTCAAGTCATATCAACAGAAGACGCAGCTGGTAGCAATAAAACGAGTATGGACTAAACAACTAAATATTCCTCATTTATTTTATTTTCCAGATCAATGACCTGATAACCTACAAATATCAATAATTACAACCACATACACACTGTATACATACATAACCTCACAAAAAATATTTTCTCAATCAGTGATTAAAACCAGCAGATCAATGTCGTTCAAAAGAAAATATTATCGACGTAAAGTGTAGTGAGTTATTTTAAGTTGTGTACAATTCTAAAGTCTTTGTCCCGAAAAAGTTTAAACGTCGTTCCGTTAAATTAAGAATCCAAAATTTTTTTTCAAAAAATCTGACCTTTATCCAATTTTATGAGTTACTAATATTAGGAAACGATTTTATATAAACAAAAAACAAACAAAGAATCTACCTGCAAGGCAGTATTTCTCACAAATGGCCACAAATTCTATATACATAGAGGATAGCAACAACAGCACTGAAGAGAGTGAATATACCATATCGAAACATATCCCCGTTACAGCAATGACACACGAAGAACACATGAATACCGCCGAAACGCTACAAGGCGAAAACGCCAACACGCAAGCAGCAGATACACCCAGTATGAGCGCTAATAATGCTATAACGGGTCTCCAGCATGCCATTGGCCCACAACGGTTAGGTGATGATGTCTTTGAAAACGCCTTCGACGAGTCCATGGATTGTCTGGAACAGGCCGAAGCGGATGGTTACGAATCGGACTCGGAAAGCGCCAATGAGTATGACGATACAGTCAGCGATTCTGTGACGACTGGGCTGCGTACCATTGACAGTGAACATCTGACTTTCTCAAGTGGTTTTGGCAGTTCGATGTTATCGAGTTTTCCACCAACCGGTTCATTCGATTACAACAGTTGTAGCAGTAGCAGCGACAGCGAGGAGGAAGTACGCGCAAGTGTGCAACATGACGAGCGGTTGGGCAAGTTCCTACCGGTCGATTCGCGATTAGACATCTTTCATACGCGTCCATATTTATTGCCATTCGTAGAGCGCCGACGTTTGTCGCAATGCAAGGAGGAGGATGAGGATGATGGCGACAAGTCACCGCAGCCAAATACAAGCGGCATGTCGGCGCCGAAATTTGAGAAGTCGACTTTGCCTACACCGCCCCCACCACCACCGACCACTGATGAGGCAGCGGTAGAGAAGTTTAAGGAGTTGGAACGTTTGCGTCAACAATTTATGCATAAAATAGACAGTATCAACACCAATAATGTGGACGATATAAAAACGGTTACAGTGACCGCAGATAATTTTTCACCTCCGCCACCACCACCAATACCGCCAACAATATTGCCACCCTCGCTTATCAATTTGCTGCAATCAACTAAGAAGAAACCACTGCCGATGATTAAGGCAGCCGAACCGCGTAAAGCAATTATGCCTGCACCGCAAATAGCACCGGCGCCAAACGAAGGCGCCCCGCTGAATAATCATCTGCCGCTTGCAGGTTCTATAGACAGCGTAATCACCACAAACCACAATGCAGCGCTGGTGACAACCCACGCGCAGCCATCCGCTACAAATTTCTCCTCAAACACCACCGCAATAGCCACAAGCAATGCAACATTGAATGCGTCAAAACTCGCACAAATCAATTTACCGCACGCCGAAAGCTCTGAAAAGCTTATTATTAAAGGTAAATTTACCGTAACCAAAGCAAAGGAGACACCCGAACTTCAACAATTGCGCACGGAGGCCGATAAGCTGAAACATTTGAGTTCTAGCGCCAATGCACACACTATCAGCTTCCCCAGCAGCTATGGTGGTTATACCTCTGTGCAAGGGCTTTTCTCACAGCGTTACGGTAGTCACAAATACCCCACCGCCGTGCCGCATCTTTCGAAGAAATTTTTCGATGCCTCTCTAGTTGAAATACGTGCGCCGGGTACCAGCAATTCATCGCTCAACGAAGAGCTCCCGAATTGTGAACAGATCTCAAAAAGCACAGTGAACGCTACATCTACGCCTGCATCCACACCTACAACCAAAGCCATAACAACTCTCATTCACCACCAAAGTTACAATAATTGTGATAATAGTTTAGTGAAACTACGCGGCGATTTAGCGCACTTAGATGATGTGTGGATAAAAAGATCGGCGATCACAACTCCATCAAGGAGGCAAACGCTAGATGAGAGTGCATTGGGGATTGGGCACACAACAGCTGCGCCGTCGGAAGATGTAAGTTCTTTGCTCGAAAGTGATACAAAATTGTAAAAATTCGTGCCATTTTAACCTGTTCAACAATTGAATTTATAGAGTATAGTAACTAGTAATGCTAATAACGAATCATGCATCTTCGAAATTTCATTATATACTCATATATAAAGAAACAGATCACAGTTTATATAAATTTTTCTGAATATCATCAAATAGTTTAGATATAAAATTTCTTTCAAAAAAATCGCAGAAAGCCAGTTGTTCAAGAATCACTTTTTATTTCATGTACTCGTTTTTAAACGTAACATTTAAGAAATTTGTGCGTGGAAATGTAACTCTACATTTTAAACAAAATCATATACGAAAGTTGTGAAGTTTAGTTCATTGGCTTTGAAGTACATACTTGCCCATCCCCCCTATGTTCAAATACCCCCTGTGTTTATTTGCAAAGCAATGCTTCCGACGAGACCAAAATATTTACATTTGTCTGCTTTCAATTTTGACTGAGGGAAGTAAGTGAGGACCAAGCAGCCTTGGGCTTTTACCATTGTCGGTCAATGCTCGAAAAAAAATTAAATGTAACAATTACGATTAGGCATATTTTTCAAGAGGCCATTAACTTAACAGCAATGGGAAGAATTGCGACTGATAATAAGTCAAAACATGTATATATTTAAAGGTACACACACATAAACATATGTATATATATATCTATAAATAAACACATTTGCGTATGTGCCTTTGTTTGCCAACAATTTCACTTGTCCATTTATCTAATTATAACGTAAATGATATGGGTGTGTATTATATTGGTGTAATTGCTTCCTCTCTCCGGGCATAAAAGCGAGTAAAATTGTAAGCACTTTTATATTATCGACCGTATTTATAGCGTAAGGGTAATATCGTATTTATAAACTCCCAACGTCGAAATACATTACACTTTCTTGTTTACTTATTGGCTTTGCATAATTGCGGAAATCTTGATTTGATTCGGTTAAAACCTTTTATTATCGCTGCTTAAACCAATTTCTTTATAATTTGCATGGCAACTGTGTCAGCGAAGACAAGCATTTATGTAAAAATTATGTAAGTAGATTGATTCAGAAAAGTTAGTGCAGAAAATGCTGAAAAGCAAAAAAATTAACTATTTATAATGTATGCATGTATTTATAGACAGGTGATTCATATTACAGTTTTCAATAAAAGAAATTTAACACCATATTCAAGTAAGTAGGTAGGTAGATTGACTGTCTACCGACGCACCTAGACCTTAGGAGGCCCATTGTGATACCACTGGGGCTAAAATCCCCTCACTTTATTTTCCTCCTCTTTGAACCACCCCGTGCTTTTGATGTAGTTCATCAGTAGGAAGAGTTTTATCTGTGAAATTTCAGAAATATTAAACTATTCGAATCTTTGTGGCTTTGTGGACGAAATGAAAAAATGGTTGATAATTTTTCATAATTCAGAGAGACACTAAGTATTATTCCTGGGTATCTCTTTTTTTCCAATGAGTTGGCAAGATCAAGGAGATCAATTTCAAGAGAAATAAGTATCTGACAATGACGATGCGGTATGAAAGATACCAGGTTCAACGTCTCCTGGGGTTTTTGGTCTTTTTAGAACAATATTTTGGAATAAAAATATTATTTTATAAATATATTAATCGAATATTCATCGTAAACGTTAACCGCTAATATATCGCACTCATATTTTTGAGGCTTCACGATATTCCACAAAAAATATCAATGAAGTCGTCGAGACGCTTAATAATGCGATTGCCGATTCGATGTCACACTATCTCTTAAAAATAATAAAAGTAATGAATGCATGAATGCTTTTTGAATCAATATATAGTAATATATATATATATACATATTTCATAGCTAAAAAGTAAAGAAGAAGGGTGTCAAAAAAGCCAATGGAATTGACTTCTATTAAACAATTAATGCTAAAAATAGTGCTTTAGTGAAATTGGCTTGCGACAGCAAAAAATTATACGTAGTTTACCAAGACCCTCGCATTTTTGTCAACAAATAAATTAAGCAGGAGGAAACAAATGAGTAATTTACTAAACAAAACACACAAAAAGGGTAGATAAAAAGCAAGCATAAAAAAACGCAGCAAAAATCATAAATTAGTCTGAAATACACAAAAATTTCAACGGCAAATAAAGTTTTATTCCGACAACGTTCGCTTATTGGCATACGAAGAAAGCAATAAGAGACTTAAGCAAGGAAAAAAAGAAATGTGCGCTTTATTAATACTACATATAGAATATTCACATTTTTATACACAAATTTATGTAATTAATTAATGTCAGATTATTTGTTTTTTATAAAACACTTTTGAACTACAATATGAAAATTAAAATATTCTTTGTAATTATGTGACATCTAAATGACCTTTATTAAGCTACCAAATAGAATAAAACTGTTATCATTTGGTATTTTATGAAACCTTTGCTCCGTTAAGGATACTGATTATTATGTTTGATCTTAAAATTATCAATTCTTTAAAAAGAAAATATTATTTGCGCGATAGCGGTATAGTTCCGACTCTTCACTTTCCCAAGAGTCCCTCGGCAACTGTTCGATATTATTGATCTACAAATTATTAATTTATTAAGTAAACTTTTTTATTAAAGATTGCCTACTAGTTCCTATTCTGCACTTTCTTAATATTTTCTTTGAGATCTTCGCAAAGTTTTCGACTATAACAAATAATCGATTTCAATCCCGATTGTCCACTAGTTCTTGCCAGGGCTGCAAACCACTACAAAAATCGATGCGGTTCGGTTCAGTGGTAAACCGTCAATGAAAGAAATTTTATTGTAGTGTGGTTCTGGTATTTTTTCTTCGAATCTATCTACTATCTTCGCACCGAATTGAAATCCTCTTGAAAACACAGTTTGTGGATTGTGGAACCAAAGTCGTTCTGACCGACATTGTGTGTTTTCGATGAGTTTTCATTGACAGTTCACACATCTATTTGTTTACATTTGTTATGTACCCTACAAGAACAGTGACGGTCATCTGATGGGTAATATGACAGTCATAGCTGAAAAAATTTTGTCAGCGCGCAGAACAAAGTTTCTATCATTTTCTTAAGAGCCTTGTTTTCTTTTTGTTTGTTTGTTTTGTTTTTTCTGAGTCATTGCTGACCATAAATAGCTGAAAATTGTCAGTTATGACTGAAACGCTATCAGAAGTGAAAAATTCGTTTGCGCAGTAGATAATATAATTTTTATTTCTTTAATAAATTTCAAACTTTTAATCAAAATTAGTTATAATAATATACCTAAATATAAAAAGGAATGCAAAAAAAATATAATAAAATATGAAAATATAAAAATAAATTTTCACTTGATGCCATCTTCTCCTTTCAATAGTTCTGCGTACGTCTTTCTCCAATCAGTGGATAGTTCTGAATTTAAAAATGCAAATGTAAATTAACAGTACTAACATATCAAATGTGAGTGTATTGGTGAACCCATCAGCATTTTCTTGTAGGGTACGTTTAGGCCAATTATGGAATGTGAACAAATTGTCAACTGACATTTAGAGCTGGCAAAATATGTCTTCTAATAATATCGATTAAACTAGAGCAGGTACCGATTATAATGAGTGGAATGTAAGTTTTCAAGGCGGTTTCAGCGAAAACTGTGTTTTCGTTTGACAGATTTTGTATGGATGAAAACACAAGTTTTCGCGTGAAAACCTCTTTTGTCACGAATGATGAAAACACGAATTTTGTGTCGGTGCGAACATAGTATAAGCAAGTGAAATAATTAAAAGCTCTTGTGTACTGATTTCACACTCATTTTAAAAATATTTTCAAAGTATTCACTTTAAAATTATTCCAACCGCGATTTGTTCCAGACGCGATTTTTTTTTTAATTTCATCTTATGGGAAGGGTTGCGGTTTTAAGCACGTCGAATATTATTTAACTTAAAATTGCTTTTTGGAGATTTTCCTTTTGAACCGAACCGAACCGAACCATTTTTTTGAGTCATTTCCGGTTCGGTTTTCGCTTATAAAATAAAAACGGTTTACTTTTTACTTTCCTAACAGTTTCTTTGTAGCTTTTGTAAATTTATCGATTATGCAACATATGAAAAATTATCTATTATATTATATTAAATAATCGATTTCGATAGTGCTTGCTAATCGAATAGCGAAGCTGACGTTTTTTTTTGTTTTTCTAATTAATTATTTTTCACTGAACTAAAAAATAAGGGCTGTATTACTAATTTATTTGTAAGCCCCAAACCTGTAATGCAACGCAATCGATTGATCTACTCGTACATATCGAAAATTTAATTCAATTTATTTTTTCTGTGCTATCGAGTTATAATAATATTTAATTTTTGGAGCTGGCATATAATATTTTGCATTTGTTGATTTTCTTAGAAACTTATTAAAAATAAATACGCAAACATATTCCTCAGGTAATGCCTTCATAAATACCTCAAATATCACACAAAAGTTACTACTTAAATACCATAAACCGTTTTGCAACCATATTTTGAGATTTGTCAAAACAAAATACCAAGCAATAAGCAACTACATTACCATAAATAAAAATTATGTAAATAAGTTTTGCATGTCTATAATTGCAAAAGCCATAACAAAGTCCTAATTGCTGTGCTCATTATTTGATTGTGTATTCGATTTTAGTGAGATTTATTTTTCACTTTTGCTTTTCACATGTTCACTTAGCTATTAAATACATTTGTGCAAATACATATGCTTAAGGAAGTGCATAGACATATGTATATATTCATTTATATACATACATATTAACATATTTATTTAAGTCTTCAAAAAACCTCGATTTCATTTGTGCAAAATTTCATTCAAAAATTCAACAATAAATACGGCAGATGTACGATGTACCTCGTATGTAGATATGTGTGCATATAAATGCGCAAACAAATACATATGTACGAGTATGCTTGTATAACAATTATATTTTACTTAACTTAAACGATCAATCTCACTTGTGTTTCACGTAAAAG